CTATCTGCTTTGCCCACAATGTAAAATAATGAGTTTTTTATCACTATACTGTGGAGTTTTAATGTTCTATTTTGTGATCGTATTAAATGAGTTGAGTGAACCAGAGCATTCACAATAAAGTTATTTTTACTCCTGTGATTTTAAAATGATTTAGTCTTTCAAACTTTTCAAAATAGCTTAGCTTTTATAAAATTCACTAGCAGAAAAAGCATCTCTTAATACTAAGCAGGAGGTCAGGCAAGTGAAAAGTTAGAATGATACCAATTCTTTCTGCATCTTTGTATATTAGGAAATGTAAACATAATGTAAAATTGGAATCATGCTTACGGAATCAATTGATAGTTTATATTAAATATGTATAGGGGAAAAAACAAGAAACTCACATTATTATAAAGTTTTGAGAAACTAAAGAAACAATGGTAAGTGTAATGTTGATGTTAATTTAGGAAAATACCCTGGGAATTAATGTGGTAATTCCTGCCTTGTCAATGCTTTTTTAAATTCTTGACACCTAAGAGAAAGAACAAGATACTTTACTATATCAATGATTGTTAGTCTTCGATATGGAAAACCAGCACATTATATGGGGTATTTTATTATCTCAATTACTTTTCCATATTTAGTAATAGTTCAGTAATTGGGGGTGAAATGAATATGCATAAATTGATTAGTGGTAAGTCAACAGAAGCTTTAGTTGAGTACAGTAACTTAACTGTTTATGAACTACTCTAAAAAAAAGTTTAAAAAATACATTTACTGTATTAAAATATGTATTACACATACAAACACACATTGTTGGCTATATTACATATGTGCTTTCAAGTTAAATACTCTTAAAAGCCTACATCCTAGTATTAATGATAAGTGTGCATTTAAATAATTTAAATAATAAAAAGTAGTAAATCCAGCTAAACTGCCAGAAAAATACATGTAGTCATGTACTATTTTCTTATGATGACAAATGTTATTTTAGTTTTTTATTTTTATTTTTTGGTGTTATGATAGCATATTTTTGGTGTCTATACACAAACATTTAAAATATTTTGAATAACGCTGAATGCTTCGTCTACAGAAACAGAAAAATACTTTTATCTGAGAATAATCTTGGGGTTTGTAGCAATATTTGTAGGATTGATTAAAGGTACCCATAGCAAAGTTTTACTTTATTATGTTTCATTTAAAGAGCACCATTCTCCGAAAGTGTTTTGTATAGCCATAAGAAGATTTACACTCTGATTCATTTAGTGTGTAGCAGAAATAGTTTAATAAATGGTACCTAAACTAGTAAAAGAGCTTATACAACTTCTCTAACACTTAGAATGGTTTGGGTAAACTCTTAGCCAACATTTCATTACTTTAATTGCAAGAAGTTACAAAAGTTCTCAGGGTAACTGAGAAGGCGTGCTAGTGATATGATACAACTTCGTTTTTATGTATTCTTTTAGTTCAATAAGTAATTTTATTAAAAAGTAACTATTAATTTATATGGTGATTTTTTCAAAAAGTCTTTACTATTGTGAATAGTGCTGCAATAAACATACGTGTGCATGTATCTTTATAGCAGCATGATTTATAATCCTTTGTGTATATCCCCAGTAATGGGATGGCTGGGTCAAATGGTATTTCTAGTTCTGGATCCTTGAGGAATTGCCACACTGTCTTCCACAATGGTTGAACTAGTTTACAGTCCCACCAAGAATGTAAAAGTGTTCC